GCTCCACACGTTCACTCTATACGGTGTTGTTTACATTCTGTGATGCGCGAGCTAATGACGTCACGACAAGACGAGTTAACTTTTTTTCCCCTCAATTTTGTGTGGAAAAATGCGGGGATTATGCGGCCTTTTGATAAATATGCGGCATTTTAAAAATCTGCGCCATTTTGCTGATTATGCGGTAAATTCTGCGATCGCAGAATCGCGTTTTTCTGGAGGGTCTACTTAGTGAATAAAATTAGGAGTCCTAAATTTAAGACTGACACACCCATTATGTTTTGGAGTTTCTCCTAAATTCGCCAGTTAGGAGCTACTTTTAGCCCTAAGATCCTTTGTGAATACGGCCCCAGGTGTATATCAGTATGTAGTGTCTCTACTTTAAATAGTCCTCTCCTGCTGATGTTCAGGTGTATATCAGTATGTAGTGTCTCTACTTTAAAGAGTCCTCTCCTGCTGATGTTCAGGTGTATATCAGTATGTATTGTCTCTACTTTAAAGAGTCCTCTCCTGCTGATGTACAGGTGTATATCAGTATGTAGTGTCTCTACTTTAAAGAGTCCTCTCCTGCTGATGTTCAGGTGTATATCAGTATCTAGTGTCTCTACTGGGACATGTGTCCATGCTTTAATGTTCAAAAAGCTCTTTATTGTTCTCATACTGCCTGTGCTGCAGCACCTCTTTTCACCCTCTGTCTGAAACCAGAGCCCAGTCTGCGCTGATTGGTTAGTTGGCCGGTTCTGTTGTGATTGGTCAACCGCTTAGAGATGTCCCGCCCCTTAGCCTACCACATACAATAAGTTCATCCAAATGTCCCTCCTCGACTCCTCTCTCGTCTCTCCTTGGTGACTCGACCCGGAAATCGATCGGGACACGCCATGTTGAAGGACGTCCCAATCGCTTAAATACACACGGAGGAGTCGAGGAGAGAGGAGGGAGGAGGCTTCCAGAGGAGACGAGAGGGAGGATAAATGAGTGTAGACAACGCGGAAGTGTTTTCACTACTCGCGCATCAAAGCTCCGCCCCCAGCTGCACAGCCTCTGCTCACTGCAGCTGTTCTGACTGTTTAAGGAGGATCAGTCATTAAATGTTTAAAGTGCTTCAATAAAAGTAAAATATATAAATCTCTTAAACGAATGAGGAGATCATACTCTATAAAAACATTAAAGTGTGTGAAATATATTTACAAGTTCAATAATAATGTTTTGATTATAAAATAATAACTAAGGCAGGTGTGGATAAAAACCAACGGAACGTCAAACATTAAGGATATATAAAAATATGGGTAGCATACCTAACTAATCCTATTAGTGATTTGTGTCTCTTCTGTAGGAGAAATTAAATAACACCATCCAATACGAAAGTTAATCTGAAACGAGCTCTAATACCATCATTATCCCTTCTCCTTTTCGCTGAATGGTGTGTTTACAGAGACATGTTTTGTTAACAATTATTATACATTAAGTTTTGCATACCGTGAGCGGAACAAATACAAATGAAATGAATCCATCAATTATTATTATAGTTATGATTGCTTTTATAACTTTAAATGACATTTTATACCTGGAAAAACAAATACAGGACCGAAAATAATACATAGAAAACTATAATAAAAGAGATGGATAGAAGAGATGGACGAAATCATTTCAATGTGAAACTAAATCCCAGGTTTGAAGAGATTGATGTGTAGTGAAGTGCAGTAACAGGTGATAAAACTTCGCGCACCAGAAGTAAAGGGCGTTGTTTATGATGACGCTGGAGTGAACGAGGACATCCCAACTCATACCTGAGGACTCCTCTGTCCTTGTGTCTCTCGCTCGCGTCTTACGGGGGCGGAGCTAAGACGCGAGGAAGGGACACAACGAGTGAGGGAAAGGAGGAGGCGAAATAATCAATTGGGATGAACCTAATGTGTTGGAGCGCTACACACTACACGAAAAAGAAAACCCCAAAAAGCATGATAGATCCGATATACACGGGTAGTAACAAAACATTTCACGGTAAAATACTGAAACGTGCAAGTTAGGACCCTCATTTTGGATGTTATCAATGAGAAGACCCATAAAAATGACGAGGCAAGAAAGAGAACAAAAAGGGTTGAGACACTGATAGGCTGAGCTATTTATTAGGATCCGGAGTAAATTTGACATTTACATTTTTGTATTGCCCATCAAGATAGCTCCTACAATACTGGTCTATACTGGTCTATGCACATTTTTGCCATAGGTAATAATCATTTATTTCCCTTTGTGTTTACAGACAGTCTCCCTCCATCGCACCTCAGGCGAATATGTGGAGATTGAAACCCTCTTCTGTAACACCATGAGAGGCTTTGACATCGTGGAAATAGAAAGGATTCAGAACAAAGCTCTTTGGGAAGCCTTTCAGTTGTACGTATATGATTTGAGAAGATTTGTGTTTGGCATCTGAACTTATTATCCAGCTGTGATTGTGTGTGTGATATCTGGGTTTATCATTGTATGTGCTCTCTGGTTATTAAAGCCAGGCATTATAAAGAAATAAAGACAGATGTGAGCGTTCAAGCTCACGATAGGGATACAAACTACGGATGAAAAAGGTCAGTTTGGAAAACAAGCAACGTTTATTTCAAACTGAGGGCGTCAACACAAAAGGGGTTCACATGAACACCGGTCTGCTCCTCTATTTCCGGACGTGGCTTGGAGAGTGACGGTCCTCCTCTCAGGACCCAGTCTACTGCAAGAGCCCAGAACCAGGTTACCAGCATGCTTTTTACTGAGAGCCTAATTACCTGATTCTGATCAGCAGTCTGGTCTCCGGCTGAGCCACTCCCATCACTCCAGCAGCAGGCGCTCCAACCACACCCCGCTGTCACAACAGATTTTCTGGTTGCAGTCGAATAGTCCAAAAATCAGCTCCTAACGTCTATCCCTTAGTGGATAAGAGAATTCAGAAGGACTTAGGAGAAGAGACTGCAGTGCTTTAGAGAATCCGACTGCACTTTCACTATCCGACGTGTTTATGATGCGCCAGCGGACGTCATAAATGTGCGTCTGCTGCTTTGGGGAAACTATGGAAACTACAGTTTTCTATACAGCGGACTACAACATGGATGTTTAATAAGAACGACGGACTACTATAAACTCATCTAGAGACTCTGCACCGTGCTCTGATGCTGTTGCTTTATGCTTTATGAACGGGGACAACGGAGAAACATATTCTTCATGACCAAAGTTGGAATTGAAATAAAAAAGGAAAGTGAAACCTATGCTCGCCACCCTCTCCCTCCGGTCCACATTAATACAAATGATCTCAATACGTATGATTGTATGAACTATGAAAATATCTTAAAATCAATACAAATGTATTTATTATAAACGTTAGTCCTTAACACCTATCACTGTGTACATCACCATTCAAACATCTTTTAAAAGTTGAACAAACCCCACACAGCTCAGTGAAATGTTGACTTTATTTGATCATTTCAGTAAAAACTAACGTTCATATTTCTCTTTTTGATTATAATACTGATGACCGTTCAAAAGAAAGCACTTTGACAAGTTACCACATACGTTTTAAAAAGCTTAATAAGCAACGTAGATTTCATGATATCATTTCTCGGTCATAATCGGTTGTTTCCGTGAACGGCCGACTGTTGTGTGATGGCAAATGCTGCGGCTGCAAGGCATTGTGGGACAGCATTTTCTCCTCTCCTTTCGGTGAGGGAGGTCCAGTGGTTCCTAAGCTAAAGGAGGTTATAAAGGAAGTTTGAAACCTCCTTTCCTTTCATCTAGAGAATTGGAAAGGCACTTATCAAGGCTGCAACTGAGGGACTTCTGGGTCATTTCACTCGGTTAGGAAGGTTCCTAAGCTAAATGGACTATTCCACCGCAACCTCTGTGTGTAGTGGTACAAAGAGTAACGACCTGTGTCCACATATAGCACATTCTTTCCACACCCCCAACGTTACTCAGTCTCGCTTTTTACGTTAGCATGCATTCCTCAATGTATCAACTAGATTTAAATTCAAAGTCTAACTTGTTTGTTTTTTTAATAAAGGAAGAACAAACAGATGAAGGACAACAACAACGGGCACAATGTGACAGAAAAGAAGCTTTTTCATGGCACTAAATCTGAATATGTTGCCGTCATCTGTCACAAAAACTTTGACTGGAGAGTGTGTGGAGTTAATGGAACTGCTTTTGGCCAAGGTGAGATGAAGAAGTAATCATTCCTGACTTGATAACATAACGTGCAGTTGTATTAAATAAAAAAGTGTTTGCTCTTAAGAGGATGGGAGTGTAACTTACAGTAGGTTATCCTAAAATCCTACCATCACAGTGAACATGCAGACACATTTAAAGGCACAGACTATTTTTTACCCCATATCCCTTGTTATAGCTGTCCATTAGTTTTATTAAAGAGTGTTTGTTTTTGTCATTGGTTTGGTAGTACATTTAATATAATTATATAGACAAACAGGGATACGCAAGAGGATTAGGGTCACGCGCGAATAACATTTTCTTTTTAATTCTGAGAAAAAGTTAATAAACATACTAACATTTTGATTCTCTTCTCTGTCCAATCGTAGGCAGTTACTTTGCCCGGGACGCAAAATACTCCCACAGCTACACCGAGGACTCTCATGTGAAATCCATGTTCGTGTCGCGGGTGCTGGTGGGGGACTACACCAGAGGGAGCTCCAGCTACCGCAAACCTCCTTCCAAAGACAGGGGGGTCATCAACCTGTACGACAGCTGCGTCGACGATGAAATCAAGCCTTCAATCTTTGTTGTGTTCGATTCCAACCAGATCTACCCCGAGTACCTGCTGCAGTACAAGAGCACGCACCCACTGGTCTCTTTAGTTGCTGCTTCTGCACCAGCACCGAAACCAGTACCAGCACCAACACCAGTACCAGCACCGACACCAGTACCAGCACAAAGACCAGCCCCCAAACCCAGTGTCACAGGTTATCAATCTAGCACATCAACATACCAAATGCATACATCACCATACCGACCAAGTACATCATCATACCGACCCAGTACACCGTCATACCAACCCAGCACCTCCACAAACTACCCCTCAGTTAACAGAACACCCAGATTTAGTCCATCTCCCCCACCCACCCCGACCCCAAAGAAGTCGTCTGATTCCTGCGTCATTTCTTAAGGACAGGGATGAAGTGAGGGCATGATGATAATATGGAGCTTAGTGTGTGCAGAGGGCTGTGATTCATTTGGGGAATAGATTAAATATAGTAATGACAGCCGAACAGCACCCTTCAGATGGGGATAATTTTTTTGTAATCCTCTGGAGCAGAGAGAGGAGCTGTGGATTATTGTTATTGATTAATGCATCAGTGTTTCTTCGGGTCAAAAACACTCAAAATTTCACAACTTAAAATGAAAGCATTTAGTTTATTTAATAAAAGAGCACATGTTCAATTTGAAAAGTGACAGTAGATATAGATTAGTTGCAATTTGGTATATATATATATATTACAAATAAATACATTATTAAAAAAGAAAGAAATTCTAATTTCTTTGTTTAATACCTTGCATTTCAGGAGGGCTCCATTGGCGGGGCTCCGTTGGTGGGGCTCCGTCCAAGACAATGGTAGGGGAAACACTGAGGTGTTTGTTCATCGATTTTGTACCAATAAATCAATATAGAAGGAGGGCAGCGGCAAGATGACGTAATTGCAGAGCAAATCAATCGTCAAATGAAAAAAAACTTCTCTGCAAGATTTTAACACAGCCTTTTTGATTTTCCTGTTATTATTCCCCACAATTTTTTCTGTGTTTAAAACAAGCTTATGATTTGCATCTTACAGTACATCATGTTTTATTCATTAAGTCTGTTTCCATTGCACTTATTTAGGTAGGATCAACATTAATGTATGTGAAATTAAATCAGAAAAATGCTCTGGAAACGTTATACATCACAATAGCCTTTTCTCTCGTTGACTGTTATAATGAACAATATATCATACTGTATGTAGTCATCATTACAGCAGGGGGTCTGCTGCACGGCCCCCAGCCAGTAGAGGGCCACACCATCTTTATTGGGATTCAAAAATAATCCATCAAATGTAAAGCTTCTTACACTAAGTGCAAATTAGATAATTATATTATTATGATGTGTATCTACTTGTAGGTTTTGTGTGTAATTTGTCTTACTTCACATTTGCACTGCTTTTACTTTTCAAAAACCCTGCTGTTTGCAAACATAGCTGATTTTGTGAGTTTAATAAATTAAAAAACACGTCACGTGTGTGGGGGTGTGTGTGTTCCTTGGAGCTGCAGTCTCATAAGTGAATGGAGGCTCTTATTGAAATGAGGCAGCGCAGAAAAAATTATCAATACAGCTGCTGGTGCTTCCTGTGACATTAGGCCTGCAACACACACACACACACACACACACACACACACACACACACACACACACACACACACACACACACACACACA